CAGCAAGACAGTAATTAATGCAGGAAGATGTGGAAACTGAAGATGAAGATGAGGAAACAGCAGAATCATCAAAGATGTGCTCCTCAGATGATGAAGAATCTATGGATGAATTTGTTGTAAAGTCTCCAACCAATGATAGACCAACCAAGCAACCCAAGAGTGCTGGTGTAATGACTTCAAAAGTGGCTGCTGTATTAGATGGTACAAACATCAGCATTCGTAAATCATGTGCTTTGATACAACAGCCTCAAATACCTGCAGACTGAGTGGAGTCTGCACTCTTCTGGAGAAGGCTCTCGGTCGCAATCTGCTATAGATGGCATGTCACCACCACATGTTTGAGGTGTTGTTGTCTGATGCATATGGAGTGTGTCTAGGTCCGTCAACTGGACCGGATATTTTGATTTTTTAAAGATTCCTAGAGAAACGGTCAGAGTTGGTCCACTGTCAGCTTATGCCTCGACCAGTGTCATTGGTGAGTGCAAGTGACAATCTGAAGGAGTTAATTGCTGAGCAGCTTCAACTCAGCCATCCACGAGATGACTATCGAGAATTTCTCCAACTCGCGGCTTATATGATTGGTTTAAAATGCGCTGGGGCAGCACCAGTTCGCAAGCTTGATGCCGTTCACAGAGCATGTTGGATGGCCAAGGCGATTTATGCAATAAAGATAGAATTGCTTTTTGATGGTAATGAAGCTGTTATACAGTTAACTGCTTGTGAATTACAGGGCATTCAGAGATTTAATAGATTTGTTGTCAATGTCTATATTCAATCTTGGTTTTCAAGTCGAGATATTGCTGATGCACCATTGAATGACATTCTATTGATTCAAAGGCTGCTTTTGTATGAAGATGCTGCTTTGCAGACAAAAGGTTTGAAGATGATGAAGCGTCACTTCTGGTACCTCAGTCAAGAGCTAGAAACAGTTTCCTTGTTCTCTCAGCATACATCTCTAAAGAAAAAACCCAGCTTGTGTCGATAATGAAAAGTGATTGAGGATCGCATTTGCTTAAGTCTCTTCCAAAAACAACAGCGGAATTACTCATTTCTCGAAGTTTCTTCCTAGTTACTGCCATTGATAAAACATTTCTCGATATTCCAGTGGAAGAATGGCGCAAAAACCATTCTTATCAGATGGCACGTCAACTTGTCAGTAACTTACCATGTGTTAATGATTGTGCGGAGCAGGGCGTTGCTCTCATCCAAAATTTTAATGCAGCAATAACAAAGAATGAAGAACAGAAACAATTTCTACTTCAGGTTGTTGAAAAACACAGACAAGACTTTTCCAAATGCAATTGTGACAATCTTGTGGACATTTAAATTTTAGAAGTTATTTATCATATTTTAGAATGAACAATTGAAATCTTGTTGCCATTTTGTATAATAAATTGTTGTCTTTAATTGTGTTCAAACGAGCATAAAAAAGTTACGTTTTCTATTGCTAAGTGTTAAAATATTTAAAGTTAAAATTGGCTTTGCTTGTGCTTGAAATCATATAAAGATGTGCTATAAACTAATTTTATTCTAAACTCTACCAGGAAATAATCATTTTTACTATATTTTTATGATCGATTAGACATGTGATCTGTATTTTGTAAACTCGATGATGTCGAGCCATCAAATGCCATTAACAAAAAATCCGCTACATCGCTAAAACTTTATGACCCTTGGGGGACCTCTAAATATTTTTCAAATGTAATAAAATAAATTATGGGTTGTTAAGAGACTGCAAAGAAACTTTTAAGAGGGACTGCATAAAAAAATTCAAAAAAAAAATTTAATATATATATATATATATATATATATATATATATATATATATATATATATATATATATATATATATATATATACATATACATATATATAGCTAATATATGTATAAAATTTGCATAAAAAAAAAAGAGAATTTATTGAAAAAGGGCGGTCGATCACTTTTAAAATGTTTTTTCCAACTTCATAAAAGAGATGTATGCTGAGAGAACAAGGAAACTGTTTCTAGCTCTTGACTGAGGTACCAGAAGTGACGCTTCATCATCTTCAAACCTTTTGTCTGCAAAGCAGCATCTTCATACAAAAGCAGCCTTTGAATCAATAGAATGTCATTCAATGGTGCATCAGCAATATCTCGACTTGAAAACCAAGATTGAATATAGACATTGACAACAAATCTATTAAATCTCTGAATGCCCTGTAATT